GTTCTCCCCTATTCTGCCATATGTGAGTTTTATATAATAGGAAATGAACGTACTGGCCCAATTTGCACTTACACGATTAAAAAAATATCCAATATGTATTGATATCCGGTTACGGATGGCGACGAATGTATTTTTACACCCTAATATATCTAGTCTATATCTAACAACGTTTAGCGAGTTTTTTTTTGCGACTATGGGAAAAATACTCGAACAATTTTGCACACAGAAGGGTGGAAAGGGTGGTAATGCGGAATAATGCAGCTTTTACGAGCGACATACGCAAAAAAAAATGGCTGAGAATATCGCAGCCGATCAGTCTCACATGGTGGTGAACGATGTCCAGCTGTCCAGCTGAGTGAATAATGGTCGAAAATTCGTAAAGAAATTTAGTCTTTCTTCGTTCGACGCTTGCATATGTTCATTTACTTAATTACGATTTTTTAAAATTATGTTCATGTGGATAAATTTTGTGAAAATTTAAATATAATGCTGATTGGATATGACGTTAATCATCAGACAGAAAATAAAGCGACTCCGACTCTGTCTATGTAACACGGTGGGTACCACCCGCTACGTTTACCCCATACCCTGATTGAGTGTTGGTATGCATGTGTGTGTGTGTGTGCATCACACGCTTTACTTTAGACGATTGGAATGGTATAAACATTTCAACCTTATGTGGGTTCGCTATATAACATGCACGTGTGTCATACTATTTATATTATCTGTAGTTTAATTGTTTTTTTTTTCTAAATCGGTAACTTCGTTCGGAAGATTTTAGTCACCCACTTTCAGATTGTGCGATATATCAACGTATAGCGTTTCAATTATTTTCAAAACGAGTACGTGCCGCGAGAAAATGAAATATATGCGAAAACTATTTATATTATTTTGCTGCGCGTATGAATGAATGAAACGTTTATTGCAAACTTTATCTTACTATAACCGGGCGCATTAATATCGGCACACAGGATTTGACCTTGTCGGTACTCTATGAATACCTTAGTGTTTGTAGCAACCTATTTATCTATATAATCATTTTACTTTCGTTGTGGAATCATATGGCTGGTTTTCTTTGATACAGTAAAACAGTGGCGATTAATCTACTGCCAATTTTTGAAAAAATCAATGAAAATGTTAGATACATTAGGAATTGTAGTAAATATATTTCGAGTCCAATATTTGTCAACAGCACCGTGTGCCTAATCGAATATCCAAAACCGGTCCTGAAAAGTTCGTTGAAGATTAGTTTTTTTTGGCGTTAAATTAAAAAACTTCAACAGCAGATGTTTGCAATATTTACATCTTTATAACAAATCCATTGAGAAATTATTTATACCTCGAGCTATACACATCTTATTTATGTATTTATTAATAATTTAACTTACACCCTTCGGCCCAATAACAATACGCATGGAAATGACATAGAGTTGCATTTACCATTTTCAGCCTCTATTTTTTATATAACAGTTACTTCCAGAAGCAAATTTTAACACTGAGATAGAATTAATGAGAGATAAGGCGTATTCGGCTCGATAGTATTATTTTACGGACCACCCTGTATAGAAAGGGTTCGAAAGTGCACAACCCAGTGCACGCGTGATGTTGTAAAGAGCGGAAAGGAAGGATGTAAGGTAGAATAGAACCAACACATGTAATTATGCACGTGTTTATGTGAATCAAAGCAAGACGAGACAGTCTTTTGGACTTCCTTTTCGGGACCCGATATATAACACACGCCCGTGTCATTTTCATTTTCGACGATGTCACATTGTGTTAAAATTTGTGCAACAATTGACTTTCGTCTGCTCACCTCACGATGTTATATTCAGATCCTTGAAAATACTTTTACTATTTTAAATATTTCACAATTTAAACCCTTCGAGTGCCCATCTGGCACCCTTACTATTTATCATTAAATTATAAATAAAATTATCAAATAAAAATGTTCTTTAAGCATTTTCAATCCGAGACATTTGCTAAATACTTGACATTGTACACTTTGACATCATGGAAAACCTGCTTATTTAACGCATTTGTTCTTCGCGTCCAGGGTCTATAGAGAATACTTGGAAAGGGTTGAAAATAAGCCACTAAAATTTATCTCGTTTAATGAAAATTCTATATTCCAGAACCGTGATTAGATCTCTGCTCTTGAAACGTTTAATATTATCCCGTTATCTATTAGAAGTATGTGTAATGTATTTTCATGTTCCTTTTAGAAGAACTAATTTTACGCAAGCTTGTCCACTCTGTAGAAAACCTTCCTGATGATCTTTAGATATTTAGTTTACGCTATTGGTTTTTGTTTAATAGGTTGGTTGAATTAGGAATAAGTAGTGTGAATGTTATACAATATAAATAAATTAAAAATATGCCCTATGCAAACTAAGGAAACATTCGAATGACGTACTCACATAGGCTTTTATCGATCGTAATCGTGGCTGCCGATTAGATAACGACATGTGCAAAATTTCCTACGAGTAAAATATGGGCGCATGGGATATCGTTTGGTGGTTTGTATTGTTGTATTCCCGTATATGTTTGAGTTTCAGGGTCCGGAGGACGCCATATGCCCCCGTTTCATATCAGTGCGTCGTTATAGACCCACATACGACGGTTGGCCTCTGTTAAAATTAACCGACCGATTTAGCTTATTAAAACTGGTGTTTCAGTTTTTTTTTTTTTCGTTATTATCGTTCCGAAATGGACATCGCCATTATAAGTTTCACAAACTTATAAAAAAAACCATTATTGTTTTTTTCTAACGATTAAAATCTCAGAAGTAGAAGTTGGATAGCATTGATACTTGACCAACTTATTTATAAATAATTATTACCTAAGTTATATTAAATAATTTATTTTCCAAATATCCCATTATTTTGCAACTGCGTTTATCTTTATCAATATTTTGAAAAACAATTCGACGATTAGAAAGTGGGGGTAAATAACGGGGCTCGTGCCAAATTTAACAAAGGGGTTGATTAACGTTGCTTTTATGTATATGCACGCATATGCCTTCTATAATACGCTTGCATTTCTCCCCCTGGTTTCTTAAGGGAAAACCGACTACGTTTAGGGGGTTTGTCTTAATTTTAGTACGCGCTCTGTGGGCAAGAAAACGGCAAATAGCCAAATCACAGCTGCCAAGAAGTCTCACATCTGCTTTTAACCAACGTAAAGTGCGTTAAAATAACCGCGTAACGGTAATATAAGAGATGAAATTGAAAAATCACTATTTCGAAATAGACCACAAATTCCTTAGATTGACGGTATAGAATGGCAGCAGCCATCTTCACGATAAATTAATATTTTCGCGACATTTTTTTATGCGGGGTAGGGTTGTCAGTCCTGCGCCCAACCCTTTTAGTCGCCTTTTACGACAGGCAGGGATCACCGTGGGGGTATTCCTGTTGCTGCCCCGTCACCCACACAGGGCCAAATTCGTTATTTAGGCTTTACCCAAATAACAGAAAATAATAATAATATACAATGCATTTAATTTTTATGCAAATTTCGGTTAGACCGTATTATTTTTTTTATTATATTAAATTACTATTTTTGCATAACCAGGAAATTTTTATTTAGCCTCTACATATATATAATATATAAATATATTTCATTATTATTAACAATTGTTTTATATATTTTTGAAACAATGTTCACTCAATAATAAAATATTTTATTAAAAAAAAACGACTTAATTATCCAGATTTATAATAAATGCATTAAATTTTTATTAGAAATTTTTCGCAAATTTTTCAAGACATCCAAAATTGTTATTTGGTCTGTGCCCACATAATATAAAATAATAATAAAATATAATCTATTTAATTGTTATATTTTATTATATTATATTTTCAAAAAATATGATAATAATAAGTGACATAATCTAAGAATAATGATAAACATATTACATATTTTATAAAACTTTTTTGATAAAAATTGTTATTTAGTCTGTGTGCACAGAGAAATTATTAATATGAAGTTTGTATTCAGCATCTACATATAACAAGAAAAATATAAATCGAAAGTATATTATTGAAACCTGACAAATCATAATCAATAATAAAATATTTTATTAAAACTTGACTTAATTATCTTTGCCATTTCTGATAAATGTATTAAGAAAATAATAAAACAAAATATTTATTTGTCAGGCAAGTTTCGATTGGATCATATTCTTTTTGGAATACGTAGGTAATATGTTTATGAGGAAAAGGGTATTCAGCCTCTAATAGAAAAGGATAATAACATATGTATATATTACTTACTGATTACTGACTGGCGTTTTTTATTAGCTTTTTATTTCTAGAATTGAGGACCAGCCGAACTAATAGAGTGCCATCTACCAATGGCGAATTGCAACTCCGAATTAGGTAAACTTAGGTACCTCTACATTTAAGCTCTTTTGGGTGCGAACCTTACTAGATTATCTAAAAATCGATAATCGTTTGGTTTTTAAAGGTTTTCAAACGTCAGCGATTTCTGACAATTAAAGAGTTATAAATTCAACGGTGGGGCATAAGTCAACATTACAGATAAAGAAATGATTATTGACCCAAATATATATCATATGCGAAATTTTGATAGCTTTATAAATACAGATAGTTAAAAGTTAAAATTGTATATACTTTTTTGTCAAATGTGACTTGAAGATTGTTTTAAGATATATTTTAAATAATAGTTTTCTTAATGCAGACTAAAGATAGACGAATAGGTTTTAGATTTAATTATTTCTATTGTAAAAGTCTCGGAATTTTGCGAACAAGGGATTTTTGAATACCCATATGTTTATCACATGTGATCAGAAAAGGATGATCCTATGAAAAACAATAGATACCCAAAGTATCTCTGGGATTTGTTTTTTATCCGTATAGATGCCGCCAGCTGAATACGTTTATTGGATGCGCTTTGGCCTGCGTCATCTCTGTTTCACAAATTGTATTACAGCAAAATTAGCTCTGTAATTTAGAGTTTCTCGTTGGATGGAATAGGTATCTGCTTCTTTAAAGAGCAGCCAAAAAAAAAATAACCCTTTAATAAACTTGATGTACTGTGGTAGACGAATTTTGGATTGTTTTGTTTTAGAATATTGGAATTTTCTACGAATCTATAGATATGGCGAAAAAAATACGAATTAATTATATCAAGTGCGTGGTTTAGTATGGCTTTTGAGTCATGTAAATGCTGAAATTAGTTGACAATGGATTACAAAGTGTTATTAAAGTTTTTGTTCCTATGTGCTTCTTCTTTAATAGTATTTAGTGCTGAACGGGGTAATATATGCTTTTAAACGATTGGAAGGTATGTCGCTTAATGTGATTTATTCCAGCATCATTTTATGGAAACAGTTACATTGCTATACCTTTTAAAGAATCCAAATCAAATACCGATATATATTTTAAGTTCAGGACCCGCTTAGCAAATGCGTTAATATTGTTAGTAGCTGGGACAACACATTATTGTAAAGTAGATATAGAAAATGGAAAACTTAGGGTTGTTGTTAATCTTGGATTTGGAGAAGCAGAACTTGTGTCCCACTCTGTAACCAAATTCAATGACTTTAAATGGCATGAAGTTACATTAAGTAGAAGGGATGCAAATTTATCAATGGTGATTGATAAAGCCAGAAGATTGCAGTAAGTATTTTGCCGGAATTATTTAATCATATAAGATGTATGTATGAGAAAAAAATTATACAATAACTACTTTAGGGTACATATCCCTGGTAAAAACTATCAAATGGATATACATTATGGTCTGTTTGTTGGAGATCATAGAAACAAGAACAATTCTGATTTATTTTTTGGACACATTAAAACGTTTAGGGGTTGCCTTTCCGGAGTAAGAGATATACACTTGTTGCAAAAACTTAGATAGGGGATCAATGAATTTGTTGTAGTTAAAATACAATGCTGTTTCTGTATTGGAAGTGGCAAGACAACGTCAACTGCATGCTACAGTAGAAGGTATTACTTGGAATTGCGCTGCTGAATTTGAAGCAACATCTGACCAGAGTATAAGTTTTGTAGAGGATGACGCATTTTTAGTCATACCCCAAAAGAGTCGCAACAAAGAAATTCAGATTCGAATGGAAGTGAAAACTACTGTAAATAATGGATTGATCTTTTACAGTTCAGCAGTTTCTAAACAGGATTTTTTACTTATTGAGGTTACCAATCATACCTTAAGTGCTGTAGTTAAAATGAGTGACAAACTTTCAAAGCTTCAAATACCTGAACAGAAAGTCTCTGATGGTTCATGGAATAAAATTGCGTTTCACTTAACAACTACTTCTTTAGAATTGTTATTGAATGATCAGCTTGAATTTTCAAAAAACATTCATGCTGCTGTTTTGCAATTAGGCGACGTGTCTTATGTAGGCGGGTTAGAGAGCAGTAGAAAATTTAGGGCCACTCAAAAAGGATGCGGTCCTGCATGCGACGTTAGTTTTAAGGGTTGTCTACGTGGGTTATCAATTAACGATCAAGTTCGAGGTTTGCCGGATGTGCTGTCATCAGAAGGTCTTCTCCCAGGTTGCGTGTGGGAATTCCCTTGCTTACGAGGTCCATGTTTAGAGGGCGCCACTTGTTTACCGCGTGGTCTCGACTCCTTCCAATGTCAATGCGACCATGATCCTTTTGCCAACTGCATGCAACAAAATTATTCAGAAGGCTATTCTATATTTTCACATGCATCTAGTCTTGCAACAGAACTAGAATTGTTATCGGTAGAGCCATTGGAGGTGTTGGAGGGTGGAAGTGAAATTATCACCACAACCAATCTGCATTTGGTACTTGATTACCACAAATTTGGCATCCAAGATGTGGGAGTAGTGTTTTCTGTCGACGTTGCCCCCGAACGTGGGGCGGTTACAGTAGATGGGTGGCCTCAGCGTAGAACATTTTCATTATTAGATGTCCTACGGGATAGAGTTCATTATGTTAATGACGGTTCAGAAGCAAGTCGTGATAGTATTTCACTTTCGGTCAAATTTTCGACCGCCGACACATTCACCCTTCCTGTATATTTGCAAGGCCGATTTAAGTTTATTTTGGCAGTAAATATAGAACCCAAAAACGATGCACCCATACTTGACACGTCAGAATCGAGGGTCCTTCGTATAGTGCAGGTAATTGTGCGGCGCATCTTGCAGCATGCTTTTTTTGAATGACCCCTAATTATTAATATGCAGTTTGTGAAGAGTCTAAATAACTTGTTAATTATTTTATTTAGCGTTTTAGTGAATGGTGGCTGCTGCACTTTTCCTTAAATATTTATTCCAAATAAATGTGCTCTTAATTAGGCATGACTAGATATTACTCCTAAGGTAAGTGTATTAATTTCGCTACATTAAAGTGAATTATTCAGGATGTACAGGGTTATTCGCTCAGTTCTTTAATAAAACAGCCTATAAGAAAGGTAGTCATGCGCAAATTGGAAATATTATTCATATGTGGTTCTTAGATTTCCAAAGTCCTTTTAAAACACTATTCTATTTCTATTTTAATTTTGAATAACGTTGCCGACATTTATTTTCCATAAGATTACATAGCTGTCATTGTTAAGTCTATACCATGGGGTGTCAAAAAACGGTATCAATTTTGATATCTAAAAAGTGGAGGTCCTGTGTTAAATATCATCATCATTGCGTTTCCTATATATTAGATAAGCATATATTATTATATAAACTAGATGATGCAGTGTCCTATAACGTTCGCTACCCAGGGAAACGGTTTTGTCTTCTAGGGGATGGAAAAATTTTGTATTCGCGATAACCTAAAGTAAAAGTAGTACGGGATCAATGTCATAGCGACAAATTCGAACTAAAAACCTGAAAAGTTGAGTTAGATGATAAAAAATCAAAAAAAGTGTCTAGAATGACATTTCAAAGCTGTATACGAAATTTGGAACGGAAATAACATAAAAAAATTCAATCCCTAAGAGCATTTCCCATATGCAGCGAATATTATGGTGGACACTGTATAAATATATAATTTTAAATAACTGCGAAAATGAAGTTTTCGAATTTACAGTAAAATTATTCAAGAATTTGCGTGAATAACACTGTATTTTGGCGACAAACTTTAAATTGCTTTATGTGGCCTGTTAGAGCTAAATTTTTATGATTTTTTTTTAAATTTACGCCACCACCGTAAACTATCGGCCCAAAAATTTTCATTTTTAGGGTTCAAAAAAATTAATCACATCAGATCTTTTAAAAACTGAAGATCCAGACAACAGCCCTTTCGAATTAGTTTACACAATAATAAAATCTGATTGTGGTTATTTTGAGCATTTGCGAAAATTAGGAGCCAAAGTGGATTCATTTACACAAGAAGATATAGACAAAAAGAAAATAATATTTGTGCACACGGGAACTGAACCTAAAGATTCGTACCTTTCCCTGCAAGTATCTGATGGAAATGAAGCGACCCAAGTTCACAAAATAAGAGTGTCGGTAACTCCGCAGATATGGAGGTTGGATAAGAACACCGGATTACAACTTTTGCATCAGACTTGGGTCGTGATAACGCCACAGAATTTAAGTTATAGCTCGAATGTGCCAAATGCAGATAACAAGGTTTTGTTCAAAATAATAAAAAAACCCAAATTCGGAGATATCGAAGTAGAAAGTCTAAACACGTGGGAAGCTACTGATGTATTTTCCAATACCGATTTAAAACAGCATCGTGTTAGATACCGACATTCCATGGGCGAACCCCAGTTTGATGAGTTTCAGGTATGTTTCGTATTTTTAATAGGGGTTGAAAAATTAAATATTTTAAAACCTTTTTTTTTATCAAAATAAATTGAATTTATTATTGGCTTTTGGAACTTCTAAATTTTATTTACTGTACGAACGTAGTAACCCTTTCTATTAACTTTGCAGTTTCGTACAGCATTCAACAAATCTATGCTGTACACATTTCGACTCACATTTGTTGAATGCAAATTGTACCAAGTTGCTTCAAAAGTCTTAGAACTTAACAGTGCATGGGAAGCTCCTATTACGGCAAAGGCGCTATTATTTGAAAGTCAACCAACAAAATCTTTAGCATCGATTATGTACCAGATTGTACAATACCCAGAGTACGGCTACTTATTTTCATCTGTATCGAAGTATCAATTAAAATGCTTTGATAACTTTACTCAGGAAGATATAAATTCGGAGAATATTAGATATAGACTTTACCAGAAAGCCTTTTCGGATGTTACCGATCAAATTGTTTTAAATGTGAAATCTATAGGATGTGGCAATACCACATCGACAATTACCATAAAGTACTATCCTTCAAATGAAGATAAATTTAAAGTTCAAGTGAATATAAAGCAGCTTGATGTCGAAGAAGGCATGTCAGCCGTTATAGATAGAGCTCACCTCCATATTAATGCCAGCTTTGTTACGGATTTGATCTTTAATGTAACAAACGGCCCCAAGTATGGGATACTACAAATTGAAAAAGAATATGGCATATTACAAAACTATTCTAAGTCATTTAGTGCCCAAGAGCTTAATGACAACAGAGTATTCTACGTACATGATGGATCGGAAACTACGGAAGACAGTTTCAAATTTATGGCATTGTCAAGTTCAGATGAAACATTTCAATATGTCGGACAGTTTATTATAAACATTCACCTAAAAAACGACCACAGTCCCATAAGAATTGTGGACAAAGTTTTTCAAGTAGTTGTGGGGGGTGAAAAATTGCTAACAAGCAACGACCTCAAATATATAGATTTGGACGTGGGGACTCCAACATCCGGCATAATATACACGTGTCGGGAAATTCCCAATGGTCAATTTTTCCACCTGAAAAACTTAAATGAAAACATAACCGAATTTACTCAGGACGATTTAGATAACAGTTTAATACTTTTCAAGCATAAAGGTCCGGAATACGGAAAAGTCAGACTGTGGGTAACTGACGGTCAGTTTCATGTAAATGGAATATTGGAGATCCAAGCATCGGGTCCTTTTATTCATGCCAAGATAAACAAAAAAATTCTGGTAGAATCAGGAAAATCTGTTCCAATCACCACAGAAAATTTATTTTATTCTACAAATCTTTACGCGAAAGATAGCGAAGTTTTATTTCACATTATCAGCGGTCCATCCTTGGGTAAAATTGTCAGTTATGACGGGTCTAACATTTTAAAAAACTTCACCCAAGAAAGTATTAATAAAGGACAAATCTTATATAGAAATGACTTAGCAACAGGCAATGCGGACGAAATCGGACTGAAAATACGATGTAAGGATGCTGTAAATTTGGCTCAAGTAGGTATTTTGATCTTGCCATCTTCTTACTGGGAACCGCTTCAGTTGAAACGGTTGAAGAAGCTGACTGTTGAGGAATCAACTAGTATGCTTATTACCAAAGACAACCTTGAAGTTACCCAAGTAAATGTCCCGTCTTCCATAATTATGTACCATTTACGTCAAAGGCCTCAATACGGCTACTTGACGATATTGTCAGAAACAAAGAATGGTAGCGAAATAATTAATGTAGCATGCTTTTCTCAGGATTTAATAAATGAAAAGAGGGTACTATATATACAGGCGGGGATGAACCATTCCGGGGATACAATAACATTTAATGTAACAAATGGTTTAGTTTGGTTGACTAATTTGCAGTTAGAAGTTATAATTATACCTGACAAATGGTATCTTGGGAGCAATGAAGTAATTGTGCCTGAAGGTGGCTCTGTGCCATTGTCTGCCGTGCATCTTTTTGTGGAAACTGAATACTATCGGCCTAAGTTAAAAACCTTCCAGATTGTAGACAATTTTAAATATGGATGCATATTAATTTACCAACAGTGCAGCAAGACCAATTCATTTACTCAGAATGACTTAGTAAAAGGAATAGTTGAATATTCCCATGACGGATCAGAACATTTAAAAGATTGTGCTAAATTTATTGCCAAAATCGATGATGGCAAGCAGAGCGAAAAAGTTGAACTTAAAGTGACAGTGATCCCGATCAACGACCATATACCTAAGTTAATCAATAATACGGGTATGGAAATGTGGGAGGGAGGTCAGGCTGTGATTACCAACTCTATGCTAGGTCAGTAATACGACTTTTTCTAAACAAACCAACTAATTTAACAGGTATTTACAGCTGCTGTCGATGAAGATAGGCCTAAGGAAATATTGAAATATCGCGTTCAAAGCTGTTGGTGGGGCAACATTTCCTTAATAAGCGATTCCAAAACTCCTTTAAATTATTTTACGCAAGAAGATATTAATAAAGGATTAGTTGTATTTAATCATATCAGTACGTATAAAATGTAAATTTCAAATATGTTACCCAAATACTTATTGTTTAATTGCAGATGGGTCGAGAGCTAGGTTTGCATTTAATATTAGTGACGGATTACATACCACCAAAGATTTCCTGTTTGAGATAAAAACAAAACGGCCTTACTTGAAATTGTTAAAGAATAACGCTTTGCATATATTTCCTCTGCAGAAAAAAATTCTTTCTTCTGATAACTTATTCTCAAAAAATTCCGATGGTCGCCCTATTTTGTATCAGCTGAAGAAACCGCCTTCTTTGGGAAGACTGATGATGAAGTCAAAAAAAACGGAACACAATATAGTGGTGTCTAATTTCACCCAAGGTGATGTTAATAACGGAACGATATATTATGAGCATCTTCATCCCTTCTCTGATTTATATGCAAACGACTCATTTACGTTTGACGTGATCTCTCTCCTGGCACCAACTATACAGAATGAGGTAAATAGTTCAAATGTTATATAGACGACAGGGGTTGCGATTTAAATGTTGCAGGTATTTAGGGTCGACATATCTGTATCCTCTGGTGGTCTTGATTCTTACGTCCAAATACCTCGCATTGCAGTTGATGAAGGCGGAATGACAAACATTCATTTGAATTTATCGGAAGTAATTTCATTCTTGGAAATGCATGCCGGGCTTCATTCACCTGTTATTCACGTTGCTGCGGATAATCCACACCACGGCCGGTTGTTTCTTCAGAACGACAAAGATAGTGGATTGATGACGTTCACGCGTCTACAATTTGAGTCTGGCTCAGTATTTTACGAGCACGACAATTCCGATACACTTAACGACACCTTAAAATTCTCGTTGTACTTGGTACCTGGGTATATTTTGTTGTGCAATTTAACTGCAAACATTACAATTAATCCCATTAATGATCAACCATTCCACCTAGTTACCCCCGCACCCAGCTTTACAGTGGTTCAAGGAGAGAACCACACTATCACAAGACAAGAGCTTTGCACAGAGGACGTAGATACTCCGCCATCAGATATAAAATATGACTTAGTAAATGGACCTTCGAGCGGGCGTCTTCTACTTTTACCTCATTTAGAGCAAATTGCTCATTTTACTCAAGAGGATGTAGATAATAGACGACTGATTTATGTCCATGAAAGTGCGACCCTTAAAGACTCATTCCACTTGCGCATTTGGGACGAAAAATTTAAGCCAGATTTTACGTTTTTCAACATAGTTGTCGTACCTGTGAATTTAACCATCAAATCTGGTATCCCGATACAGGTGCGCCAAGGTAATAACATAGGATTTCTGAGCGAGCAGAATATATTCATCCAAACAAATGTAGATAACACTAAAATCACGTATTTGATATCTAAACCGCCTAAACATGGAGTTTTATTTAAAGAAAACAACCAAACTGTATCGTTTTCTCAAGTAGATCTTTATAGGAATAACGTTATGTACCTCCAGCTTGATACTACTGCTTCAAACGATACATTTCAGCTTGTTGGTCAAGTCTCTGTAGGCAATATAACATTTAAACAAGAATTTGCTTTGGATATGGAAGTTAAACCCTTCATGCACATCAGTGACTGTACCGTTAGTTCGGGCGAAATGGTGCGAATTGGTTCAAGTATATTGGATGCTACTCCGTTAGCCAAACTGACTAGTAGCAATCCGAAATATTCTCTAATCAATATACCCAATTGCTGTGAGATTAGAAAAATCATTCGGAGTTCAGGCGAACGTAAACACGTTCTGGATACGTCGGTGGTTACTTTCACACATGAAGAAATTCAAGGAGGTCTGATATATCTCCACGCGAAGGATTTCAATGTACCTGAACCAGGTGTAAGAGAAAAAATTGTTTTCTTACTTTCCGCTAGTATTTTCCAACCGGCCGTTGGAGATCTGACAATCTACATAAGTCCACGTAAGAATGACTATTCCAACTTACCAGATCCGAGCGACCCAGAAGGACACGAAGGTGATGTCTTACTGACAACCCCAAACATGATGAGAGATTATGTACTAATAGGTATGGTTTTAACATGTTTTTAGACATTTTAATTTATATGTTTATATATTTATTAGTCACAATTATTCTGGCAGTTGTTATAACAGCGATCGTGGTCGTCATCATATTAAAATGCAAGGCAATGGAACGTAGGACTTCTTCTAAGGAGGAAGTTCCTCTGGGTCCCTTACCCAGACCCCCCGATCGCTTATTAGCCTCCCCTGTGAAAATGCAACCCCCTGCGGCGCCACCGCAATGTAAAGTAACTCCGCTAGGTATAAATGAGTTTGATACACCATCACCTCATGCGGGTTATCCCTATGGAGTAGGCGACGAGCTAGTGGACGATTGGAGTAGTATTGATAATGCGTCAGACCAAGCTTCGAAGAGTATTATGCTACGCAGGAATCAATATTGGGTTTAGCATTATGCTATATGTTAGTTCCGTTGTTTCTCTACTTTTTTATTAAGTTTTTTAAGAGGTTTGACTGATTTAGCGCTAAAATATTTAAACTAGCTGTAATAAAAATTAATTTATAGAATATTTTTCTATCAGACAGGGTCGTGGCTTGGATTAAACTAGATGAAAGCGGGATTTGAATCAGGTATTTTTGTACTTAAATATCGAAATCTATCGGGCCGCATCTAGTTCAATTGTTGCTAAAATTGTTTACCGCGTAACTGCTGGTCTAATTTTTAACAAATTAAAAGTTTAATAAGACTAATACTATAGAAAATTAAATAAATCAAATAAAACAGGTGTAATCTTAATTATAATAAATTATGAATCCTTTAAGACTATAAGATTCTTTGTTTAAGATATGTTTTTAAATTAATTAAAAATCTTGTTAAGTAAAGCAATCGAGTTGTTTATTAAATAACAACCTATAATCAGTCGATCTAACATATATTCAATATCACAATATTTTCGTAGGTAAATGCGAAGTAATCTGATTAAATGGCTTCTTGGTTTTAATTTCCATGGTGGTCAACCTTTTTTTCGGATCCACATCGAGCATATTTTGCAGCAACACAAACTAAAAATAATTATTAAATTACCATCAACAGTATATTGCCAGTCTGGAAAAACAATTTTCCAAATCACCTACTACCCTCACTTTTTTTTAAACTGTTTTTTTTTTAAACCGAGGAAACCGGCAACACAAGCTTAATAGGTGGGGAATTTGTTTCAAACATTAAGGACTCGGCTAATTAAAGCCATAATGCCATTTACCTCATTGGGATATTTTTCCCGAAACCCAAGTGGATATTTTTGATTTTTAATATTCGTCAACGTTTTAATTCTTTCCATTTCTGTAGCAAATGGAACAAGCAGCTCGAATAAAATCACCCCCAAAGCATATATATCCACTTTAAAATCGTAGGTTCTTGTGCGAAACTGTTCGGGACACATATAAAGCTGTGTACCTGAAAAATTATAGTGAAAGTCGCTTTTATGCGACATAAAAGTAGTCTACTACACTAGCATACCGACTTCTTTGGTATGACCTTTGTAATATGGCAAACAATTTCTGTTGTGCTCCAAATCAAATGAACTTTCCATGTCTTTGACTAAGCCAAAATCTCCAACTTTTATTTGGCCTTCCAATGAGAAAAATATATTACTGGGCTGAAAAATTAATCACCATATATGGATAAATCAAAATGGATCTTTACATACTTTCAAGTCTCTATGAATCAAACCGCTCGAGTGTACATACTGGACCGCATCCAAGATTTGCAAGAAAATTGCGGAGACTTCTTCATAATTCCTCTCTCGATGTAAACTAAGCCACTCCTTAAGGCTCTCTTTTTGACAAAGCTGCATTTGGATGTATAAGTACATTCGAGGTTCATGATTCAGGATAAGATCTCTACCATTCTGCGATGAATCCCAAGACAGATGCTTTCTGCCTGGTCTTTTCCAGTTAATTTTTTTCTTTGCGTGTTCAGATAGTGACTGCTGCTTGTTTGAAACTTCATCTTCACTATTCGCAAAAATTATAAACGAATCGTCATCCTCATCATCGCACCCAGGTAACTTTGCCGGGTTTTCACTACTATCATCGCCAGTAAACGCCTGACTTAAGTGAATGTCTATACTGATTGAATAAGATTTGGGTCGGTTTACTCGGGACATACTGTCTTCAGTTAAGCCATCCGTTTCAGGTCTAAAATGTATATCAAAGACATACTGAGACGTTCTGACCAAATTTTAAAGAAAAAGCCTTCTTAAAAAACTCATAGTAGAAAAATTGATTCTTACGTACTTAAGCCATAGTTTATCATGTTCTTCTTGCCATCCAACAGGGGGATGTTCGACCCATGAACAAAAGTACCGTACTATGTTTTTATGCTCCAGTTTGGCAAGAGCTTTTACTTCCCTCATAACTCTATCACGGGAGTTTGACCTAAAATTATTACGATTATTTAAAAATATAAACATGAATCGTATATCGCATGAACTGACTCATTTGGCAAGGTGATTCTTTTAATCGCGTAATGACACTCATCAATATTCTGTTTAACTTCAAAAACAACACCAAAACCCCCTTGACCTAAACAACGAATGGTTTCAAAATCGTCAGCATATCGAGACCGGAAAGTCTCTTTTTTCAACTCCTTCTCATCTACTCGTGTTATATTTGCTTCCACTGGTTTTTCAATTATAATAATTTCGCCCTTAGTTGATTGGTTTCTATGCAAAACTCTTAGCAGGAATGAACTAAGTATGGCTGTGATGAGCAAGAGAAAAATATCCCTACTAAAATGAGAATATCTGTGTCTATGTTTTTCATTTATAGGCAAACTTACTAGTAATGCGCGTATGAATAGAGGATGGGATAATCTGAATCATATGTTTCAGTATCAACAAACAATTCTTCTACCCCATCCTTCTTGCAATAAAAGGACCCATTGTCAGTATCTGGCTGGAGATAATAGCCATTTCCTAAAAATAAAAAATATATAGACTTTACCAAATAGGAAACATTTTACTAAAAACCTGCCATTTACATATTCGGAATTGTTTAATACTGATAAAGCAGTAGAATCTTCTTCCGTCTTTTCTGCAGACGCGGAAATTGGTTTCCAAGGTATTTTAGCTAGACTTGAAGTCTCGGCCACCATTAAGTCTGAATGCTGTTGTCGTTGAAGAATATTCTGCATGGCCGATGACTCATGAATATATAGCTACAAATATTAGATATTAATAGTGAGTAGTTGAACCTCACCACGTTTGATATACACCTGTCTATTATGCATTCCAATGTACAAGGATGGTAAATTTCCCGCAGACCCAGTCATTAAAGTGGGAATGTTTTTTGGTACAAACAAATCTACTTCGGATAATGTAACTCCATTCCATACCCACACGCGTACAATTGGTGCATTAAGTTGTATCTGCCACGAGTTAGTTTTTTGAGTTGCAAATGTAGATACGAATAAAAGACCTTTTGGGACAACGGCACTAACATTCCATGTTAGTGGTTTGGTATTTATGCACGAGATCTGTGGAAGTTTTATATTATGAAGACCAACACTAAAGTTCCACCTTTCTAATCCAGTTATGGGTTCTACTGCCCTCACTATTTGGCTACTTCGTTCTATAACTAGCACATCGTCAACATCTTGCCTATCTTTATTAGTACAACTTTTTTGAGTGCACTCGTAGAATAAGGTACCAGTTCTGAATCCTACCCCGTAAGTTCTTACTTCGATACCCCCTGCAACACACATCTCTAAATAGAAAAGTTTGGGTAAAAAGAAATGAAAAACTACCTGCAACCACCACATTATCGGAGTATTTAAATGAAGATTTTAGTAAATTTTCAGCTGTGACTGGTATGGGATCGATAGTTACACCATCAAAACGATAAAGCATCCCCGTTAGGGATGGAATTATCCTCACCCATTCTCCGTTATTAGTTAACTATGGAAGAACAACAAAATGATCACATCGAAATTAAAATTTATTTTGTGAGTTACCTTTTTTCCCAAAAAAGTTAATAAAAAGAAACCCAAAATTTGATTTTGTGCTATCATATAGTGTCTACTTATACATGAATAGAAATATTTATAGTTCACTCTTTTTTGCTTCAACAATCCCCATTTGCTAGACTTTATTATTTTTGAAAAATTAAACAGATTTGAGTTTATATTTAAGGTGGCTAAAAAAATGTTTTTAAACTATATTGTGACATTTTTTTTTAAGTGAAAAACTTTACACTGATGCCAAATTTGAATATTTTGAAAGAAAGCTCAATAAATATCTTTACCTCCAAATTGTGGATATTAGAAGTTAATAAAGGACCAGGACCAGTCTCGATTTCCCAAAATAAATGACCAGTAGCGTTTATAGCAGACAACTTTCCATCCAGGGTACTGACTAAAACTATGCTAAAAATCAATTATTTATGGATACAGTACCACTATTTTAAATTTAACAAAAATTTACCCAGAAATATTTGAACAAAAAGGCAAACTGGGAGTATCAGACGTTTTTACTTCAATGTTGCTGGAAACGCCTAATACAGCAAAAAGTATAATTATTGCTACAATTTCCCGAACCATATTTCGATAGGAATCCTACATTTTAAAATTATAAAATGAAAAAGTACTAGGACTATAACTTTAAACACAACTATTTTCTAAAAAAACTTGTAAATAATGAACATTCTTCCGCGCTTGTAAACATCAGAAGCTGTCAGGCATAGATTACGAATATTTTGGAAGGAGAGGAGTACAGAAAGTAGAAAATCAAAACGCGATGTTGTCAAATTGCGATAATTCTTTTTTTCTAATATAAAATAATTTCATGTACAAAAATTTTTTTAAAATCTACCGACCACTTGTATCAGCTGCAAGAAGTATACAATCCTAATTTACGTGCGTCGTATTTATAAAGTTAAGTGTTAGATCAGTGTTAATTGGATCATCGTTATTGGATTGTTCCTTTAAAATCAGGTACGAGATACGGTTATATCCCAAATCGTGCAACGCAGGCATTTGTTAATCCCCATGACTATGCGGCTCCAGAAATAAAAGAGAATAATAAATATAACGATTTTATAATTGTTGAAATTAAGATTATCTATGGGGTATATTTCTCATTAAGCCGCTCATTTGCGGACTTTCTCTAGTCGGTATCGCCAATCATGTCACCCGTTTTACTTTTGGTACTCCAAATTTCTTACGTTCACTAATTTTTATATCAGGTGCGATCTTTTCGATGACGTAGCTTCCACGCTGGCGGAGCTCATTTCATCGGCGTAGTTCCTTCTAACATACTTACATGTAATTCTCGGAAAACTGGGTGAAAAGTGCAATTTTTCAAACAATAGTTTTATAAAATGGGGTGCCTATTGCTAAAGTGAACCAAAAAAAATGGATATAGAAGATACGTTATACTCAAGCGGTGAAGAAGGAACTAGCAATATGGATAATATGGATATCTTGCTGAATTGTGACGAAACGGAACTTATGGTTAGTACGTTTTTGACGAAACACTCATAAACAAGATTCCTGAGTTACAGTTTAATATAATTTTGTTTAAGAAACAAGTTTTCCTATTCGGGACGAAACGCGAAATATAATTACAATTTCATTTAAATTTTTGAACTTTAACAAACTTAGTAATCTTTTTAAGCTCACTTAAGTAATTTACTCAATACCAGGCAGGTTATTATTTAAATTTTCATATTGATAATAACAAAATAAAATTGAATTAAAATAACAGTCATTTATTTCCGATTGCTATCTGTTATTGCTATGTGACATCGGAAAAAAAAATAGTGAAATAAATATGGTGCAATTGTTTTGTAATATTTCTCTTCAAAAATCTCCGATTATGATGACTGTCTACGGGAATAAAAGTGTTTTATCTTTATATACCTATACACATCTTGTTTTTGTAGACCTCGGATTTCTTTGATTCTGTTTTGTCACTGGAAAATAACTTGGAAGAAGATACTTTCTTCACAAATTTAGATGAAGACGTAAATATTTTAAATGACAATAGTCAGAGCGATGGAGTTTTATCTCCACAAAGTTATTGTTCAGAGAGTGATAAAAACAGTACTTACAGTACAGAAAACATAGACGAATCGTAAGGATTTATTTGACTTTAAGCGGTCACACTCTGTTGAAATACACATTTTTTCCAGAACTTCAACTATAAACAGCATCGATGGATTTGACGATCCAATATTTTTGTCATTGCTGGATCCTGCTTCTAGTCAACAAATGGAGTCAAAAAATATTCCTGTCATTAAATCATCACCTATAACAACTCTGCAGAAGCCTACTAAAATTTTAATTCAAAATCCTTCGAATAAAAAGTTTATCGCCAAACCAATTTTAAGTGCAGGTAATCTAAACTATTTCCTATTTAAAAAGCGTATTACTGTTAACAAATATTCCAGCGCATCTCAAAAAGCAGCCTCCAAATTCCAAGGCCCAAATCTTAAAAGTACAGCAGTTTTCTAACAATGGCAGACCTGTTTTGTTGCCTTTAAGCGTTAAAAGTATTAAGATATTGAATTCTGCATCGGATATTGCTTCTTTGGGGACAATCAACAGAAGAAAAGTAGAGTCAGTACAAGCAACATCATCTGCTGATGAAGACGACACTCACGTAGTATCTTCGACCAATAACCAGTATCCATTGTTGAATTTAACTAATGAAGAAAAGCGTCTGTTGGCCAAAGAGGGGATTCAATTGCCCACGCATCATCCGTTGACAAAGAATGAAGAAAGGGAATTAAAAAGGATAAGGAGAAAAATCCGCAACAAGATCTCAGCTCAAGATTCAAGGAAGAGAAAAAAGGAATATGTTGATGGACTGGAAGAGAGGTGAGAGTAGTAATAAGCCTGATGCGTAAATAAGTAATGTTTTTTGTCTGTGTTTCAGGGTGAAACGTGGCTCAGAAGAAAATAAAAACCTACTGCAAAGGGTTAAAGAACTGCAACGGCAGAACAGAAATCTTATTGCCCATGTCAACAGGTTGCAAGCACTTATTTGCAATTCGACAACATCGAAAGCTACGCCCTCGACTTGTCTAATGGTGGTTTTGTTATCTGCTTTATTGGTTTCCCTTCCTAATATGCGTTTATTTGAAAATAAACAGATGTCTACAGATAGCGAGCAAGTCAGTATAAGAAGATCGCTTTTGAGCAGCCAACAGGCCACAGAAGATGATTTGAACATGGAGGAGTTCTTAATTTTTAAAGATGACGAGTCAGAGGTCGATGCTAAATTCGGGGAAGATGTCCTTGATATTGAGAACTCTACAGATAAGGAGTTTTCAAAGATACTGGAAGAAATGGGGAAAAAATACAATGACTTCTTGGCTGAGAAGAATCAATCGGAGAACATTTTTGGAAGTATGTTTCAAACTGTTAAGAATTTTCTAGATAGGAAGAAGCCGGAATTTTTTGAAAAAAAGCCACCTGATTATGGGGGGACATATATAAATAAGAGAGGTTTTATTGAACCAGATGTTGATGATTGTTCAGCAAAAGAGGAGAGTCCTCCATTAAAAAGAGTGAGATATGTGACAGAAGGGTTCAAAGGTGAACATGTAGTTTCAACCCTGGTTAAAAACTGTGGGAATGATCAAGTTAAACAGTAAAAAATTATATATTTCTAATTTATATTTTTTTGTTAATTTTGGTTTGCTATATAAATTGTTCCTGTTATATTTTCTATTTCATATATTTGTCGCATTCCAAACAAAAGGCTTTATCCGTGTTTTTATGTTAGGCTAATTTCTCCCTTATTCCAGACTGTTTTAAATTTGAGATGAGATTTATATTAGTATTTGTTTCTTGTTTCTCTTATCTTGTGTGAGCTCGAGATTTAAGAATATATTCAGCAAATTTTATAGATTGTAGGAAAAGTTTTTAATAAAATTGTATTAGTTACTTTTAAAGACGTATATTTATTTATTTATCAAACCCAAGAATCAACAAAATTTTAACTGTAATCTTGTTCTTCAGGGTGTTTCAAAACAAATGCCAAAAATTTAAGGGGGTGCTTTCTTGTATAATATAGAGGGTAATTTATTATATAAATATCGGGTCAAAAGCGCTAACTATTAGGGAGATATCGCGCTACAAATATGGCGGAAGATAATGTTTTTATTTTTTTTATAATGAAAACACTATATTTTTTAATTTTTAAAAAATTTAGTGACACGGAAACAAATTTTGATAGACGGGTTTATTAGAAACTTTTTTATCTCGTGTAATTTTTTCATAAAACCTAGTTTCTAAATAAAAAAAAGTTGATTTTATTCCGCCCCATTTTTTTCCTAATCAAAAAATACATAAACATGTTAACACGATTTTTAGACACTCCTCGTAGGCATTGATTAATAACAAGTCGTTCAAAATGTTCCGGTAACGTCTCTACTAAATATACATGTAATTATAGTTTTATTTGGGGGTTTAAATATGTGGGAATTTATTTTCTTATCCTTAACGAATAAGTTTTATTGAACGTGGATAGGATAGTTGGGGAAAAGCAATTTGCAATGAAACGAGTACGGGTTTACTGAATTTGTTTTTATTTTCCACATGAAGAAATCATGACAGAAGAAATAAATACTCTTATATATTTATTTATTTTTTGTAACACATGGTATATTTCGAATTAAAAATATTAAAATCACATTCTTCACAATTCAAAATGAAACTAGTTCAAAACTTGTTATTAAGTACTATAATAATAAAAAAAACGAACCGTTTATAATGTATAAAAAAAGGAAGAAAAACAAACATACAGCATTTTTTAAAAAGTTGAGATCGAAATATGTATAATAAAGCAAAATATCTATTTCAAAATACAGCGGCATAATTGGTATATGCAGAAGTTCCACATAACTCATAACTCGTGAAATGGAGTTTTAAAAAAGCGGAAACTTAAAATTCAGCAGAAGTAAATAAAAATAAATTCTCGAAAGTTCAAAAACGATGGAGACAGTCTTTAAAACGATTTAGTAATTATAAGACACAATAAAAATAAAACGAAACATCTATCTCCATAATCATAATTGTCTTCCGAACTAGAATAAGTATTACACCTAACATCACATCTCATAAAGTTGATTTTTTTTTTAAGTGGAGTATTTAAAAGTGTAATGAAAAAACTGTAGTTTTACTTTTTGTTGAGCAATGACAACCAAACCGTAACAATCGAATAAAATTTATTAAAACATTGCACACTAAGCTATTTTGGAAAATTCTAAATTTATAGTTCCCGATTTGAACGTCGTAAAAGTACAATGTTGCACATGTGAAGCAGTGCTTACCATAATGCTTGCAACAGAAGTACTTATTTACATGGACTGGATTACATATTTGTTGATTCTTGCACAAAGAGTTTTATCAATGCCATAATGACCTAGTGTGCGAAAAATAATTCAACAGAGTCGAGACCTAAAGCTAACCGAAGCCAAGCCTCAACAAATAATATATAGTGACAAATACATTCAGTCTTTGATGAAAGCGAAACAAAAAGCCGATTAAAATACTTCTTAGTTCTCTTAGCATTCTTAGACAAATACATTCACAGACAAATGGACACTTATTTTAACACACCTTCTACTTAATGACGTGCAGAAGAAACATTAAATCTTACCACAACCATTTTACATTTAAAAACCTATTTCTTTTTATTAGGTTTGCTATCTTTGTCTTCTATTTTTGGAGGTGACCTTTCGACCTGCTTCATTTGGCTCTGTTGATTCTTTTCCTGCTTATCTTTCAGCGACCCTTTCACCTCTTTTTTGTCTTTGATTTCAGTCTCTTTAAAAGCACCTTTCTCTTTTTGGTCGCTCTCTTTAGTCGCCTTATCTGCTTTATTGGCTTTGACCTCAAAGTCCTTTTTGCTGCTAACAACCAATTTCGTTTCGGAACTATCCAAAAATATTTTCTCAGCTTGAGGATTGTTCTTGCCACTAGTATCACTCGTTTTAGCAATTTTCTCCTGTTTCGTTTCTGGGCAATTTGTGGGGGAATCTTTTTCTTCCGCTATCCTTGGTAAAAGTTCACTCGGTCCAGATAAATTCAAAGACAACCTATTTTCCGCTGACGAAGGAGGATGTGCTAAATAAAGCATTCAAATAACAAAACCGAATAAAAGATATAAAAAAAAATACCTGGATCGCATGGTTGTGGCAAGATTTCCGTTTCCTTTTCTTGTTGAGCATTTGGCCGCCATACTGTCGAATTTCCTGTGCGAGTTTGGGCTTTAACTGCCGGCGACGCTGTGCCAGATGAGCACAATGGTGATATGGAACATTTATTTTCTGCACTTCGGGGATGAAGGCGATCTGGAGATAACGCCCTCCTTAAAAGCGGAGATCCAGGTTCAGCACCTTTCGGTCGTGCGAATCCTTTTTTGGATTGAGATGCTACCGCTATTGGAGTAGAACCAGCGCTTGGGCTGTACGACTGGGTGGTATTTGAACTACCTGAAATTAACGATTGAAGAACTGGAATTCGTCGATTCGAAAGTAAACAGTTTCATGTACCCGGTTGATGACACACTGGAAACGCCAACGGACTAGGAGATCTTGTAGGTGAAGCTGGTAAAGGAGACGGCGATGGGGTCCTCGCTAGAGGTGAGAGAGGAATATGACCGACAGATTTTCTTCGGTTAGGAACAGACGTAGGGCAAGATGGACCCGAAGCGTGTAGAGCTTTCGGACACCCAGTTGAGTGAAGTTTATGTTTTAGACCGTGTAATGTAGATGGTCTTTGATAATGCTGTTTATTGTTCCGTCCATTTGGAGCGTTGGTCGGAGATGGAGTTGCTGATGGGTTCGACGTTCCTGAAGAACTGCTAAGGGAATCTGAAGGAGATAAACTTGATCTGTTTGCAGGACAACTTCTAACCAAAGAAGGCGAGAAACTACTGTCGCTTCTTGGGAATGACTGAAAGCTCCTGCTGGGGGTCACGCTAACTGGAGACTGGATACCTGCTGCCATCTGCAAAACGCAAATCGGTGAGTATCTCACCAATTAAGGTGCCATACTGATGCTAACTTGCTGCATTTCAACGTTGGCTCTTTTGGTGCTAATTTTTCGAAACAATGATGCTTTCCGGCGTTTGTCACTGTCCCTTTTTTGTTTTTTCTGTCTGTTCAGGCTGCGCTTGGCCAACTTACTTTGGCCTGGCTCCCTCTTTCTCCCACCTGTTTTAATAGAAGTTTGTTCCAATGGTGTGGCGCGTAGACTGACGTGTTCTGCACCACCAAGTAACAATTGCAGCACTTGTGTGTGGTATAAGCCTTGAACGGCTTCTCCGTTAATGTGAGTGATCAAATCAGCTGGTCTTAAACCTGCTTCGAAAGCTGGACTGCCTTCGTCCACAGCCTAAAGACCATAACTTTGAAAAAGAAAAAAAAAAGGAGCATAGAAAATAACGCACCATTACTAAGTGGTGCATAGTATAAACATCGCTGTCGCCATAATACACTCTGATTGTATGAACAGTAAATCCAAATCCTTTGGGACCCCTTCTTATTATTATTGGTGGCTTCAGACTCGTAACCAACGGTGACAATTCCCTACAAGGCGACGTGTCCCGTGAGCTAGCTGTGCTAGATCCTCCACCTCCGCTGGGAGAATGAATACTACATGGTGGTGCTTGGAAATCATCTGATGGGATCATTAACGACAACCCAGAAGCAGACGCACTTTTGACCACTGATCGGGATTTGTGTTTCATCGAATGGGGAGTATGAATCTGGGTCTTGCCCAACGGAGACAATTCTCTGGTTTCTGAAGAAGATGTCCCAGTTTCTAAACTACTGTGTTCATCTTCCACAGAAATTGAAAATTTGGGTAGAATATCACGCCCATGGGCTGCCTTTCTTCGCCTGTGGATTTGTGGCGACACATCGTCGCTGTCGGTTTGCGATGATTCCGGGGTAGTTATTGCACACAGAGAAAGGTCTAAGGATATCTAAAAGTAACAACATACCATGAAACCTCTCAGTAAATGTTAAGATTGCACAAAATACCTTTCTAGGTTCAAGAGGTTTTGGATTAACTTTCTCCGCAATTTGAAGAGCTAAGGCATTTGAAGACTTAAGTTTGGAAGCGGAATCGCTGCTTTCAGAATTAGAGCCTTCCATTGCCGCTAAATTCAACTTCAAACTTGCGGAATCAGATCCCAAGCTCAATTTAGAACCATGGGTTTTTCTGTATTGTGGAGAGCATGATGAGAATAGCCCAAACACTGGAGAATCGTCAGTGTCATCCGTGTCATCCTCCAGTTCGTGGCTGTAACGGTCCATTCGACCTGTTGGTATAATTATTTATACATGATTTATAAATAATTTAACATGATTTTACTGAACAATGTTATTTTAAAAGCAAAAAAACAAAGTGATAAAAAAAAATTCCAATCTATCTGAATCTATTCTCGGCAACGGAATATTTTTGTGCAGATCCAAAATTACAGTGTCCCAAATTTCTTGTAATCACAGAGTTTCTCGGTAAGCATCAGAGATAGACGTTTTCGCGACCCTGTGTCAGTTTTTTGTGAATGTTTGAGATATTATGTTATAATAATTAATAATAAATATTCTCGAGATATTGGGTGAAATAGCAATTTTGCAGTTTTTGGGGTGGTATCGTCAAATAAAAAGTGCAGTGGTGTAGTCAACAAATTTTTTAGACAAAGTTTTCGTGATATAGCCCATATATATTTTTTAAAATGGAACACCACCCAAAAAATTCGGATTATTTTCTCTTTAAAATCATGTATTACATTATACAATTTTGAAGTCAACTAACCCTACAAGCTATAAGGCCATTTTAACGCTGGATTGGTACAAATGGGCTAGTAAGGTGGCCTGCTAGGTCGTCAGACCTCAGAACATCAGATTTCTTCGTTTGGTCTTTCTTAAAAAACAAACCATGTTGGTTAATATTGTTTACATTAATTTAATTATGTAATTTAAAAAAAAAAAAAAAGGCGAATTTTTTTAGACCAAAAAATAGAGTATTTAAAGAAATACTATGTTTGGCCTATATCTCGAAAACTGTTTATTGTTTTTGGGTGCAAAATTTGGAACACAGCGCACTAAATCGCGAACGCCATGACTCATCAAAGAAATTTTCCACCCCACTGGCAAAAATGTTTACAAAAAAAAAGGTGGGCACAAACTACGCATTTCTTAAACTATGACGAATCACGTGCTTTGTCAATACAATGGGGTTTTATTGCTTTACCACATCTGTTTTGCAAAGTGCATAAAAGGGCGGCCAAGAGCTTCCGCCATCGTGTGGCCGCATAGCAACACAACATCTGGGATGGCAAATGGGATCGATAATAAGAAAAGACAGGCCAAAGCTTTGGTTGTAACAAAACGAGCTTATTTTCTTAAAAAAAAAAGAAAATCATTAAGCTTGCAACTTACTGTCAAAATAACTTGTATCTTCGTCGTGCTCGAGCTGTGGCAAAAATTCTGCTTTTTGCCTAAGCAAAGAATTCCAGTCTAAACCTTGAAAGTAAATATGATCTTTAACTTCATGGGCTCCGCCGGTACCCAACCGATCTCTAGGAGAATGCTGCAATAACTGTGAAATTAGATCTTTCGCCTCTTCTTGAATAGACCAATCGTCATTTTCAGGCCATTCTATATCGTCTTGTACGGTATGCGCAAACAATTCTTCCGGTGTATCACCAAAAAATGGGACGCAACCAATTAGAAATTCGTAAAGTATTATACCCATGGACCACCAATCCACCGGCTTCCCATAACCTTGCCTTAAAATCACTTCTGGAGCAATATATTCGGGTGTTCCGAACACTTGTTTATCGGAAAACTGATGCGCTTCAGTATCTATGTAACCCTCGTAGAGATTAGTTGCAACTAAAAGTAATACTTTAAACCTTTCATTTAGCACCCAATTAAATTATTTACGTGACATAAGACCCATCTTGCTCAATCCAAAATCGGTGAGTTTGATATGTCCCAGGGCAGTGATTAAAAGACTGAAATGTATAAAAAGTAGTGGTAGATTGACTTTTTCATAAATTTTAATACTTTTTTTTTGCCAAGCAATAAATAAATATATAAATAAATAACAAAAATCACTGGGGCGCCTCAAAGCATTATCTTGAAAACAATTCCATTTTAAACTCGCAGAGAAATGTCAAATGAAACAATAATAAGATTTTTTTTCTAATAAATTTTATTTTAGTTCTTATGCATGACAGGAGACAAAAAAGTTTCTAAATAAAACATAAAATATATATATATATATATATATATATATATATATATATATATATATATATATATATATATATATTACGTCATTGCATAAGTTTTTTTTTAATTTTATAAAGAGAAAAATAAGCAGAAGTTTTTTTTTATAATAGTAATTCTTCCGCAATAATTTATTTTTCTATTTTCGTTTTTAAGATAAAAAATAAAACCATTATTTTCCGCCGTATTTGTACCGCGATATCTCCTTAATGGTAGGCTTGTGACCCAATGTTTATATAACAAACTACGCTTTACTTTAAACTAGGAATCACTTTTCGCATTTATTTTGAAACAATCTTTACACACACATTTTTAACTTAAAATTCTTGACATACTTACTTGTCGGGCTTCATATCCCTGTGAACGATTCCATATGAATGCAGATACTCAACTGCCAATACAGTTTCAGCAAAATAAAATCTAGCCATATCTGGGGGCAGAGGGCCAATATTCTTCAACAAGCTTGCGCAGTCACCACCTTCTACATATTCCATAACCAAACACAAATGTTTTTTAGTCTCAAAACTGCAATACATGCTAACAACGAATGGATTATCAGCGAAACTTAGTATATCCCGCTCAGCGAAAACTTGCTCCACTTGATTTCTCAATATTAAGTTATTCTTATTGATTTTTTTCATGGCAAATCTTTGCCTTGTCTGTTTGTGTTTGACCAAGTACACAGCGCCATATGCACCATTAGATATCAGCTTTACCACCTCAAAATCTTGTTCGCTGGGGTTATTGAGCGACTTCTTGTTCGGGGGGGTCGACGTTAGGCAGAGAGATAATCTAGATGAATTGTTCGACCAATTACAGTTTTTTAATTCCTGTTGTAGTTCAGCTATCGGGTCCCGATTCAAACCTAATTTCTGAATAATGTATTGGGGGATATCCGCTTTTATGCCTTGCACACCCTTAACCTGACCCTCAGCAGCTTCCAGAAAATGGTAAAATTCCTCGGGATCAAACTCCAAGCATTCCAACAGTCTAGCCGGACGGGATATTATCAACAACAGTTTTTTAATGAATCCTGTGACCATAGTTGCTGCTTCTTCAGATTTGTCTTTTGTCTGCTCAGACAAATAACTTCAATATCAGAAAATTAGTCCGAAAGCAATATACTCACCTCAGTAAGCAATCTCTCCAAACTTTCCGACATTTCGTAGAAATAGCGACTAGTTATCAATTTGTTCTGAGACTTATGCAAGCAATCCCTTGCCATCTCCAATACTTGGTGATGAACAAATCGAACTATAGGCAAGTAATCGCAATCTTCTCCAAAATCCAATGTTTTGTTTTCTTCAATGTAATTCCCAAGTCTTTCTTCCATTTGTTGTGTGGCCTTTGGAAATCTCTCCTTGTATAAAACATTCATCATGCAAATTTCGTTGTCTATTACTGGCGATCTACTGGGGCTACTAAGACTTCTTGACCTAGGTCTATGTAAAGGGGACCTATGGGGGACCACATTATCATCATAACTACTTCCTGGTAGGGAAGTATTGCTATCATTACTGGAAAAATGGTGGGTTAGCATTTGTATATCGTCCGAAGTCGGTATATGTGGTAACTGATGGAGCCTTTCCTGACTAGAACATTTCGACTAAAACAAGTGGCGTTAGCAAATACTAAATTTCTAGAACTTGGGTCCTATTTACCGACATATTCGAACTGCCTGGAGTTGTTCCATATCCTGATGATGGTAAAGACGCAACCGACCATCTTCTGCCATCGCCACGATAGCCTGCCACAATTCTACTTAAGAGGAAACCAATTATTAAAAGTTAAATTGTACCCATTGTTGTTACCTTTTTATTGGGGCAAACGAGAAATTTATAAAACTCTGATGGGTCCTGGGGCTATCGATGGGGCTTCCACATATAGGAGAATGCGACCTAGGCAATATTGGGGATGTGTTGGCAATGAGACTCAAGCGGTTAATGGTTGGACGACTATTTCGCCTGGCAATGTTAGAATCTTTCATGTTGGTGGAGAGTGAGGGAGCGGATTTACCAAGGGTAGTATTTCGCATTTTAACCAAGTTTGAAATCGGATTTGGCAGACCTGCAAGCGAGTAGTCAACATAAAATCAATGAAATAATTTTTAGTTCTTACCAGCATCAAATACAATTGTAATGGTATGTGAGCGAATACTATTGCAATGAATACCTAAGCCTAGCTATATTACCCCAAAATGTCAAAACCATTAATACTAGACAAAATATTTTTCACGAATGTTTATAAAATTTCAAGAAGGGCCATTACCAGTAAACAATGGTTTGGTATTGGTTGATAAATTTGGTTATCAACACTGTGGTGGAAAAGTGACCACTGACATGACTCATGAATAAGTGATTTGTTTTAGTACATTTCATGACATTTTGCAGACATTAGTGCAGTTAATGCAGTTATCAGGCCCCTTTACCGGTAGAAGGATTTCAGTTTTGTACTGCCCAGAACAGCTTAGGAAGAAGAGGGAAAGAGAAAGACAATGTGGACAGCGGCGTTTAAGAGTGACTCTTTTGTTATTTGATATCAAACGACACCCTTGTAGCTAAAATATAATATGCATACATGAATGCATCAGCAATCGAATGACATGCCGACGATGATAGAATATCATCTTAAAACAAATCCGGATTGCAATAACGCATAAAATTAGCGTTCTGTAAATAAGTTAAGTGTACTTTGAATATATAGTTAATCATACATCACATACATCAGAGTGGTAACCAGAAACTAAAATTGTGCATGGCAATGGCATTCCAATTTTTGACACAACAGAAGTGTGTGTGTGTGTATGTGTGTGTGTAGTATTAGTCTTTTCTTAATGTAATAATTAATTATTTTTTTTTTATTATAAAACACTATACAACACAACATTAAATTTGTTAATTTTTATTGTTATTAGGATTAACTAGATAATACAAATAAATTAGAAAGTTTCCATAAGCCCTGCTCTACTTTTGATTTACGTACCCTTTTTTTACGAATGAGTCAATGTGTCAAACAAGTTCAATGAGATGTGTTGAAAATAAACCTGAATAATATTTTGGTTGAAAATGAGGACAAATAGAAACAACACTAAGGCGATATTGTTAACGTCAAGCTCAATAGTTGCTATTTTATAAAACCAGTGAAAATAGACTAGGAAACTTCAAAGGGAAAAAAATTGCATTTAAGCCTGAGGTTAATTTTTCTATGAATCATAAGTACGCTTGAATCAACAAAACATTGTGGGAGAGGTGTGAAAGCAGCGATTTCTGAAAATAGAACTGAAATAGCAATTATTTGATTCTAATTAAGAATACACCGAGATTTTAATACAAATGTTCATAAACAATATAAAGATTTATATAAATTCAGCGTAAACAAACAAAAGTAGCGAAGTACCTGACTGCTGTATACTGGCAGATTCTTGACCTGGGGCAGTACTGCATCTTTGCCTTTGTTCTAAATAACCTTTCGGTTCATCAAATACCAATACTCTGGCAGAATTTGAACGAGACCGCGAATTAATACAGTTGTCGATGTTGTCCTCCATCTATCACCACCCAAGACCAATATTAAACAAGCCAATTGTTAGCACATTTACGATAGCCCACACCAAAACACAATGTCGCAACAATTGTGACATTTTTTAGTTCCGCAACAAGTACTGTATGGGGCCATATTTAAATTATTTTTAAGCTTTTTATGGTCCCTCGGAAAATTAACATTCTGCAACGTAACCCGACAATAGAGTTGAAAACAGCTGGGAGTTGCGTGCGCACGGATGCCTTTCCAATCGAACTGCAGGTCCGGAATTCAGTATTTTATTATTAATAAAAATAAGATAATAATAATATGATATACAGTATTCATTACAATCACGCAATGTTAATGAGTTTGCAATTTAACTCGACAATAAAGTAGAAAATAGCCGTGATTTGTCCGCGCCCTCACAACCTTTCGAGAATTATTGTTGCATTTTGAATATCAGATATCAGAAACAGTCGTTTTATTCAGTCCTCTTGCATTGCAACATTACCATCCAATAATATAAATATAATAAGTATCAACATTTGTATTTTTATTATTAAATAAAGGTTAAAATCACGGCGGCACAATGTCGTAAATCAGGTCTTTGATGAAATATTAATACGTAGATAATTTTATTAGAACATATTTTCATTTCAATTGCAACGATAAATTTGTCATCCGTTTGAGGATTTTTGTATGGACCTAGATGGATAAGTATTGGAAGGGATATGAATAAAAGTACCACCATTACAGCACTAAATAAATTTATTTATATTGTCAACGGTTATTAATGTTTTACATTAATTAATTACAAAGAAGAATCGATCTAAATAAGTCTTCGCAAGGATATATCTAAAGTAATTCGCAAATAATGACTACGTAAGTTTTTTAATCACAACCATTATAGTAAATGCTTCAAACCCATACATCGGGCGTACGAAAGCAAAAGCTACAATTAAAGTCGTTTTAAACAATTTGTATTTGGTTTATTAACAACAGCTTATGAATAAAACAACAAAGATCTTTTAAATCACAAAATGCTAGTATTCGAGTAAATGATGACTATGATAAACTTTCGATTCTGAAAACGGTAAATTACAGGCAACCTTATTGCTAATTAGACTTATTTAATTGAAAAGATTGACTATTCATTACATTAAGATGATATGTTGATGAAGGGCGATAAAACTTTACTTATATGTTCAAAATTTCGTCCAATTTAAATTACACAAATTTAAATAAATGTGTAAAATTCACATTTTGATAGTATTTTCGATAACGTCACACTAAGTGTAATATAACACACACAAGCCCACCGTATATTAGAGAAAATAATTTTTATTTTAACTATGAAGGTATAACAAATAGCTAAATCTATGACTCAATCGATAGTCACGAAAACGACTCTAAGTAACACGAATGTAACAATTTCCAATGTACATAAAAATAAGTGTATTTTTAACCAACCCGATGCAACTTCCGTTACTTTGAACACAGCTTGACGCCGCTGGCCAGGTATACTTAATAAGTATACTACATAATGTACCTAATCCGTACGAGGGCGATTCAGGTAACTCCTAAGTTTAACTACTTTATATATCACTCTTATGATCTCATAATTGTGCTCGTGTCTACACGTACCTATAAAATCTACTTTTATGCAGCGTTTTTCGAAGTTTTTAATCTTGAAACATCTAACTATGTAACTTCATGTTAACTAATCACCCCTAATTCACTTTCGTAAGAGTGGGGATCGGACGCAGGGAGCAAAGACAAAAGTGGAGGTCCGTTCAATTAATACATCTAAAATAATATATAATTATCTAACGATAATTTCGTTTTTTACATTGAATTAAATTTTTTTTTAAAGCTTTATTGCAGTTGATAGCTTAGTACATTTAAGTGAACGACGAAGTGTCTTTTTTTCATTCTAAAATTTCTCCGGTGAGTTCTTAAGATCTCAATGAAAATACAGGAAAATTTGCAATTAGCGTACTTAATTTTCGTTGAGATTTTCTACTCCTACATTAGCTGATTGCAATCGCTTATCGCAAAATGAAAATATTAGTTCCCAATAGAAAATTCTTCACGGGACAAGAGACAATCGAAACCTCCTATCTTTCATCAACTTTAATATAAATGTAAATATTAGTTTTTTTACACGTTTAATTACATTAAAAAAAACATTACGTAAGAAAAAAATGTCTAGCTTTTCACAGCAAAAAAATTATAAGCCCATTTGGGTTTTATCATACAAGGTAGAATTGAACATTTTGAATACTGGGTAGTCTGGTATTTCTGGTATCATCAAAAACTGTGTCGGTGGTTGCATAGAGAACTCGGTTACGGCGTTTCGTTTCTCTTGAAACGTCAATTTTTCTTATGGACGCCATTACTCAAAACGCAACGATTTTGATCAAATCTGACACCTTCATTTGCGGTTGTCGATAAGATAGATCTTCAAACGGTACTGTTTTTTGAATTTTTGTATTTTATTTTAGCTTAAGCAATCTCGATTTATTTATGAGGAAAAACTGAAAACCCGTCTGCTTCCATTTCTGTGGACCGCTTAAAAAAATAATTAAAATGGAATAAGGTTTATTTTATTTTATTTTAATTACTAGGGCGGCTACTGGGGATCAGCGATTGTCTACGAGTAAACTATAAGAAGTCTCTTGTTAAGTGTGGCAAATCTACGGCGTCAATAATAAAAAAAATAAACTTGAGGACATGTGCACTTTTCTAATACAATGGACCAATGAAGTACCGTAGACGAGACGATCGGACAAAGTATCGAGCTCTGTGTTTCGCATAAATTTGCAGCTCGTCAAAAGATGCCGCCAGATCGGGAATTATGTTTCTTGAAAATATTTTTTCTCCAATGATTTACAACTTGGGTAATAAAAAAAAGCGGTGATTTGAGGTGGTACGTGTACAAATTGGTGTGGGGTGAAATACGCAGTGGGATTCGGTTATCAGGCGCTGTTCAGTACGTGTCTAGTTATAGGTGTGAGACCTTCCAAAATATAGATATGATAATGAAAGAAAAGAGAAAAAAGACGAACATTTGCACACAGTCTCATAAATGTGATACTAACAAACTAAGGATTGATATGGGCAAGTATTTTCCTAGTTGCTAGTCCTTCTGTTCTGTTTAATATATTTTATAAAATTTAACATTTTCCGATGTTTTTGCCATTGCCGAGATACATAACTCGACTTAACATTAACAACGCACGACAGTAATCCGCGGTATCGACATTTTTCGCTAACCCGTTTTAAAACCGAATTTACATCTAGTTTTGTCTTCCAAGTTTTTTTGTCTACGTGGTGGTTTGAAAAAAAATGTATAAGAATTATTATTATTACCAATTTAAAAAAATAAATACAGAAATTTGGTGTAATGATATTTCCACATATGCATAAAATATAATTATCGCTTTAGCTTTTGTTTGGTGTTTTTCTGGATATTTGCATCAGCTGACTGCTGAAAGAGTGCCATTGCCACATCATAATAAATAAGTCGATCTCTAAATTTAACCGCATGGGTCACTTCTGGATATTCGTAACTGGGAGTTTTATAAACGAAAGCCGTCCGTTTAAGCTTACCAATAAAAATTAAACAAAACAGGCAATAATTTTAAAGTAATTTGAACGCATGGCTTGGTTTATAAAACTAATTAAAAACTAAGGGCAACCCAATATTTTGCTTCTATTTAATAATTGTTTGCTGGAAATGCAAATGTCTAGACAATTTTACTAATAAATGATAAATAAATGGCGATGTTTTTTTGCAACCAGTTGACTGCCATTTTCAGAAAACAAAAATGAAAGAAGGGCTAAAAATTGATAATATAAACGTAAAACAACATCAATTAACCTACGCATATATAAAATTGTACTAGAAAACATCGCCGTGAGCATTGGCTTTTAGTATACTGGAAAGTTGCTAGGATGTCTCATTTCTATTGGGAACTGTTATTTTTTGCAATTCAAAACAAGCGGTATAGAGGATGTCTCAATAGTGCGTTCCTTAGATTTGAACCCCTTATTAAAGAAAAAATAATTTACCATTTCTCGTACGTCGGTTTTTGTTGAGTCGAACTTGCTAACGTTTCGCTAATCATCCTGTTGGCGTCTTCAGAGCTTAACTGAGACTGAAACATCTAATAATCATCAAACTGTTTCACTTTCAATTAAGCTCTGAAGAAGCCAATCGGATGATTGGCGACACTTTGGTAAGTTCGACTCAACAACAACCGATGTAGGAGGAATCCAGAAGTTTTGTAAATTGTATAACACCTATAATTATTTTCATATAAACAAGAATATAAATTTCTAGAGAAGTGAGGTTATGTTTTCTATGGTTGCTCCCTATATGTTTCTCCATATTTGAATTGTGGGACGAATTATAGAGATATTTTGCGTGATAAATATTACGGGAAATCCCTTGTTTTTTAAATACAAGTTTTTGATGTAGGATTGTGATTTTTGGCGGAAATATGAAACTGCGAACTTTAATACAAAAATGTAAATGTTTTAGAAATTATGACAGATATAAATAAACAAAAAAATTTATGCTACGAATGACATGAAATAATCACCGTTTAAAAAATATCAGAGCTAATATTTTTTATTTCTCACTTCTCTGAGATACTTTGTATAGCACTGAAAATATAAGTTAACGTTAACAGTTACGTCGTAGTTTGAATGATATTACCGCGAAAAAAGCACAATCCTATATTAAAAGATCCATCCTATATTAAAGATATTTTTTCTTTTGTTTGGTAGTTTGTCTATTATCGCTGGAAATTGTTGCACAAAAGATCAGCATTGAGAATCCTTGTAAAAGTCACTCCGATAATCATTTTGGGCAAAGATTCCAATGTTAGTATTGTATGAATCTTCCACCACAGTTTTTGGATGAATAAAATAAGATTTTTGGTGCTTAGTAACTGTTGTGCACATTTTCAATACTAGTCATAGCTTTTACTCCTTAACTTTGTAACACTGCAATTTGAACGAAATTACTGTGGCCTAAAACCTTTCAAGGGGGTTGTCTATTTGTCTATTTGTTTGACCCCCTACAACCCCACTTTAACTAGGTTTAATACAATCACTAGGAAAATCAGTACAATTTACTTAATTTATCTTAAGGGAGCATTGAACAGAGAAATCCTGGATCCACTGATGCTACTTTAGCAGTTAAAAAGGCATGCATACAGTAGAGAAGACTTTGCAAAATCGAACACTCCAGTTCCTGTGGAAATATAACAAGGTACACCCCCCGCCACTTTAATATTAAAAACTTAAAAAATATACCTTCGTTTCAATGACTTTGGTTTCCATATCCTGGAAATGTAACTTGAGTTTTGATTTCCCGTCATCAGAAGAGCCTCGCAACTGAGAAAATTTGTATTGCCATAATGGAGCTTTCGACTCGCCTTCATATAATGAAAATCCTATATTCCAGTCTAAAGTTAAGCCCGCTGTCTTGCCGTTGCTGCTCACAGTAAATGTTTTTGACTAAAACAACAATTTTAAGCAATTAAATAATTAATAATAAATAATTAAAAACTCACGCCAAGCTTCATTACAGCTGTGCAAACGGAACAATGCCACGCATTTTCGATCCTTAACAGTTCCTGTCGTGTTTCCACTGAGAAATATCGAGAGTCTTGTCCTGAGGTCTGAACTAAAAAACAATGCTGACGTTCGTCTACATTTTCAGACTCTTTAACAATTCGAAACATGGTCTGATACACTTTAAATGTCAAGGAGGATTTACTCCAGTCGCCAATATTCAGCTAAAAATTTTCTGTTTAAACAAATTTCAATTGGAGGAACAAAGATTCTACTAACAGGGGGAGAATCAAACAAAATAAGATCGGTCCCTTTTAAAGCTAAAAATCTTGCTTTGTAATTTTGCCAAGGCTGATTGTTGTTCAGTACACACTCGTTTACCCAACCCATGTACTCTATTCTATCAGAAACTCCAAAATTGCGATTGTACAATTTCATCTAGAAAACAAAATTCTATTCTAACTCTACAATGATAATTAGTAACATTTGAAATTACCTGTAAATTTGTTAACCCTATTATATTATCTGTAATATACTTTAACCACTGCGATAGAATTGCTGAATCATCACATTGTATAATACCAGTACTAACCCCATTTAAACCCCTTACTTCGAACGCATTGGGTCTTAATTTGTCAGTGCCAAAAATGTATCTTGTAACATATGCCATCATTAAAGGCACAGCTATTAAATCCACCCAGTGGGTCTGGGTTGGTTCTTGGTCCGTTTCAGAGCATATCGAACTAGGTCTACTGCTTGTACTATTTGAGGGGACTCTAAAACTTTCATCTGAAGCTTCTCTTTCACTATTACTGTCTGTGTTCTGCGATTCCTTGTCATCTAAAGTAGGTAATAAATGTTCAAAAAATACGTAAAACTAATAGTATGCACTAACCTTGCTTTTGAAGAAAGGGTGTAGCAGCTTTGTAATGCTTTACTGTTAACACAACCAAATCTCCCGCATTTCTCAAAATATTTACAGCATCATCATGAGGACAAGCAGTAATGTATTCTCCATTTACTGTACCACAATCATATGTGTTGCTTTATTCTATGTTAGTGATATTATAAAACTTACCTTTTATAATTGCATCTCCCACAAAAAGCTCCCCAGTTTGGTCAGCAGCTTGATTCTTATAAATCCTAGATATAAGTATAGGAAGCTTATGCTCGGCACCACCTTTTATGCTTAGTCCTAGGCCACCAATTTTTTGTCGCCTTATCTGAACCATCCTCTCCTAAAAAAATAATATAAGTTTTAATGAATTGCAGACAGATTATGCTTTACCTTTGCGTTTAAAGGCTTTGGTTCTATAGGTAGAGGTTCTTCCTTCTGAAGACGTAAAACTTCCATTGAAAGATGCAATTGAACCGCAGTTGGTCTGCTTTTACCATCACTAACAGCGACCATACCAGTCCTCACTTTTAACTTTTGATGTACTTTTTCTTCAATTGGAGTAGTCATTCTTGTAGCGTTTATCTTCATTTTGTAATTATGCCTATAACGTAAAATTACCAAATAAATTAATTGATTTCTGAATATTCCGACGTAAAAAGCCAACATACCCTTTTGCAATGGCACTACTATTTAAGGAACTACACTGGCATGGAAAATATATCGTTTGTCATTTCAAATAACTTACAAACATTTTAAAATTACTTTAAAAACAAGTTTTTTGACTCAAACCTCCAATGTAAAGCCATTTTTAAAGGGACTGCCATTCATAGATCACAGAGATTGGTTCTGTAGTCTCCACGCTTCAATCACAGATGTACAACTTCTCATCAGTGCGAAAACTTTCTTGGTGTCAATGTTGGTTGCCTATCTCATCCATAGCGCAACATCTGGATATGAAACGAGTATGCCCCAAACTGTGTGATTTTCGGAGCAGTTCTAGTGTGGAAATAAAAGATACGAAAAAATATATTTTTCTTTTATTTTTTTCTGATTAACTAACCACACATAGATATGATGTTATATAGCTTGATTTTTGGTATCTCCGATTGACATTATACCGGAGGAAAGAAAAATAATTAAAATTATATTTTTTCAAATGGAACACAATACATTTTTTCTTATCTTATTCTGGAAGACAACTATCAACTCTTATAATCAATATGATTTGATGATATAATACGATATTTTCCTAGCAATGATGCAATTGACCTTCCGCTAATCCCTCTAAAAAATGTCAGCCTTGCAATTTGTGCCATTTTCTTATTGGTTAAAAACATCCGAATGTGAAAATTCCTGTATTATCAGTATGTAAAATTGTCTGTGGGCTTTCGTTTTCAGAATACAAGGAGCAAAATTGTTATATTTTGCTTAATAATTTCGTCACTGCTTGAAGTATGTCGACCGGTACCAACATTTATTAAAATAAATAATTAAGTGTCTTTATCAAATGTAATATTTACAAACTACGTGCTACTATATATACCGAAAAATGAACATAAAACTGTAATTAATATTATTTATATATTTATATGTTTATATAAATATTAAGCTGGTAAAATAATTCTCGTCGCAAACAAATCCTTTTTTTTTTATTTGCCTATTTGATGCCTTTGTTTTAATACATTTTGATGTTAATTAAATTATTACACAGATCAAATTTAAAACGGAAGAAAACAATTTGTATTCGTTTAATAGAGAAATATTTAATAGAATCAGAAAAGCAACCTCTGTCCCCTACTAAAGAGCAGGCGTGATCGGATGCCCACTTTACGAGGTACTATCTACTATGCATTTTGTATTGGACAGCGATTCCTCTTGGCGATTAGGAACATACGCTTTTGACTGGTTAAAGACGCCATTATTCCCTAATATCAGTCACAAATATGGCGAGAGGCGCTGGAGTACGACCAAATTGGAAAAAAACTACTCTATCTAAAAAAACATCTGAAAAATGTTTTAACGAATTAGATTCGGTGTTGATATGATATCATATGACATACCTGTAATTTTAAACGTTTCATGTCATTAGATGCTTCGAATTTTTGACACCCTGTACAATGCTTACTTTGGCACTAACTTTTTAATTTATTGTAGGAAGATTAACTTATAAAAAAATCCAAACATATATTTTTTCTAATTGCATATATTTTTTTGTTATTTAGTGGTACTCAAGAGATGTTCTCGAACGAAGACATGTCACCAACGTAAGATTATTTGAATTTTACCACCAGAAATTATGCTATATAACATTTTTTGTTGGAAAATTCCGTTTTGCCGTCTTGCATTTTAATTTTATTAACATATTGTGGCCTTTCACAACATTTTTTAATGAACACTAATCAATTCAATAAATGCTATGATAAATAAGTAATTTTAAACACAGCAAAATTATATGTGCATCATATGAATATTCTGGAAATGGAAATACATGTCTGTTGAATAGATATGTAGTAGATATTACATTGCAGTTAAAAATAACATTCAATGTATGTGTGTTGGTAGTACTGTAGAATATAGAAAACAATCTACATGACACATTGATGATGTTTTCGTGGATCATATTTTGACATTTTCGTATACCATGTATAGACATTGTTGGGTATTTCTAAACATCATCTTAATTAATATTGAAGCAGGTAATTCCTTGACCCACTTTGTGACTAAAACATATATAAACAGGGTCTTAAATTGATTTGTTTCAAAGATACAAGCTGTTAATTTTTTTAAGAACATCACTTTTTACCCATACAATTTTTGTCGATTTAGCTAAATTGTGAGATTCTTTTATTGTAGTATGAGGCAAATTTAGTTCTGATTAGATGGACATTATTAATTCCAGGAGCGTTTCTAAACACTTGTTACAATAATAAGGATGTATTCGGAAACGCTACTCCACCCAATGAGATCTAACAAATATTCATATTTTTCAAAATATTTTCATTTTTGCAAGAATATTAATATGTTAATTATAATTAGGTAAAGTAAAGTAATATATATATATATATATATATATATATATATATATATATATATATATATATATATATATATATATATATATATATATATATATATATATATATATATATATATATATATACATTTTTCCATGTATATGTTATACAAAGTCGAATGTTTATTTCATGTATTCATCTGTGATGGATATACAAATTTTACAAAAATATTTGCTTCTACTTAAAAATTTCTAGACTCTCTGGAATCTGTTTGACCTAAAGTGTTCATTTAATTACATCTGAACCCAAAATGCCCCTAAAAATCTTAGTTTTTAATTCATAAAGGAATAAAATCATTTACGATTCTGTTTAGGGTATGAGATTTCGATCTCATTTAGATATTGTTGAGTAGTATGATTCTTTCACCTCTCGGCAATATCAAATCTTTCAAAAGGAATTTTTTAGATAAAGGGTTTGAATAAAATTTAAGTAAGAAATAAGAACATTTCTTTATAATAGAATTGAATTTTTTCAATAGATCTGGTTTTGTTTTCAATAATAATAGGTAGTGGTATCTAAAAATGCAGATAAAGTAATAAATAAAAATAATAAATAAATAAATAATCGTTTATTGACCACTTATAAATACAAAAACTTATTATTGAAGTCAGCAAGAATACAAACAAGATAAATATATTACATATAAACAGCTAAACCAGTGTAACCAGAAAGTAAAACTTTGTATATATATATAGGTACACTCTAAGAATAATTAATTTATAAAATAACTTAGATGTACTGTGCCTGATGAGTAACAAATTCGTTTATGGAATAGAAACAATGCTCTTCAAAAAACATTTTTGATAATTGTTTGAATTTTTTAATGGAAAGTCGGTTAACATCAATATTTTTTTACCGAAAAAGAGTGTTTGCAAAAATATTATACAAATCTATCTGTTCGCGTCATGTAGCTGTGATATCCACCATGAGTCGGAAAACAGACAAATTTGAGTGGATTTCACCTAAGTTTGAAGAATAAACATACATGGTAACGTAAGTATATTTAATTCTTTCAATATTGGGCGGCAGTGACTGGACGGCGAAACGCCCCCAAGAACCCGAACCGCAAACTTCTGCACTCTAAAGGCCCTCTGTGGTTGAGCAATCCATGAGGCGCGTCTCCCGGGTGGCGGATGGGGGAGCCCAGGCCCTCACGGGCCACCAGTCGTGGACCAGCTCACCCTGCCCAGCTGTCGTGTCGTGGCTAAGGGCCTGCACAGGGTATAACGGTGCCAACTGGCTTTTAGTCGGTTGATAAACCAGGCGTTGGGGCCGGCTCGACGAGTGGGCACGCGACGCGGGGGGTCTGAGCTTCACCACTTGGACCAAGAGGAGTAAACCTCAATAAAAATCCTAAATCCTACGGTGGGGGGTCGGGCCTAGGGGGTGCATGGCTGAATAGAAGATCAGTCTCTACCGATCCCAACCCCTAGGCACCGGGCGCACCTCGGGGAAGGAAGCCTTACCTCTGCATGCGGGGCTCTGCAGAGGTGGAGCGTTATGTTTCCCTAGCTACTCGTGGGACCTTTATGGAACCAAAAATGAAATGCGAAGAAATGAAGAAGGAGGAGGGGCCCCAGGGGGCTCCAGCAAGCAGGAGCGTCCTCAGGAAGGCCCCCTCCAAGGGCGATCCGAACAGGTCGCCAGCGGGGTGGAGGGCTCGGTACAAACCGGGAACACCACCTCGATGACACACCGCCCCAGACATAGGAGTGGGGCGGAAAAAAGGAGGGCGAAGAAGAAGAGACTCGCGGTGACGGTTTCGGAACCGCAGACGGGCTCTCTTCCGGCGCCCAGGAATCCTGCCACGCCGTCAACGGAGGGCTCCATAGGGGGCACACCGGAAACGGCAGGCGGGAAGCGGAAAAGAAAAATGGGAGAGACCACCCAGGTTGGGGCACCTGCCGGGGGTCGGCGGCCGACACGCGGCCCGGCGAAAGCTAGGCCCGGGAAAGGCGGGCCGTCCCGGGGGGGGCTCTGAGAGGGGGGCTCGGTCCTATGCACAAGCGGTGGCGGGGGGGCCTGAACTGGTGGTGGGCCTCAGAGGACAGGAAACTGACCTGTCTTCCGAGGACCTGCTGCAGCTCAGAATGGCCTAGATTGCCGTGCCTGGAGGGTCTGGCAGAGGACGGAGGATGCAAGGGGCACAAGGTTGGTGGTGGGCGTGGACGAGAAATCGGCAAGCGCCATCACGGCTAAGGGCTCACTTCTCTTCTGCCTGGCGACACAGGTAAAAGTGAACCTGGCGGCGCCGATGCCGCAGGGAGATAAGGTGGTCGCGGGGGGCTCACACGAGGAGGGCTCGTCCATGGAGGTTGGCGGGCCTGTCGGAATGGCGGCGCCCATGGCTTCTGTGGAGGAGACCTCCGGAGGGCCCTCCGAGGATGCGAGAACCGAGGAGGTATCTCGGATGGAAGTTGACAGGGGAATCCCATGAGGGTCCACCAGTCAGGAAGCCGAAGCGGAGGGAGGTTCTACCTCGGGCTCCGATTCGGGCTGAGGCTAGCATCGTGACCCGCAGGTGGTATTCCCGCAATAACATCTTCACGGGGATATTACAGATTAACCTGCAACACAGCAGGGCTGCAACGGCCCACTTATGCAGGAAAATTTCGGAGGGCGGTACATCTATTGTACTGATCCAAGAGCCCTGGATTGTAAAATCAAGGGTTAGGGGTTTATCTCTGGGAGGATCGATGCTGCATAGTGTCGACTCCTTAGAGGGTGGTCCCAGGGCCTGTATTTTAACCATGGGGCTGGAGGCCTTTTTCCTAAGGGACAAGGCGTCCAGGGACCTGGTTCCAATTCTGGTCAGATCCCCCACTCGGGACGGCGTGAGGGAGGTAGTGGTCGCCTCTGCGTACTTTCCAGGCGACCGCAGCTGTCCTCCGC